AGGAGGAAAGTCCGACACGATTATAGGCAATGTGAGGCTCCTCCCCAATCACAACAATATCGTACTTGCGTCTCTCTGCATCTTGTTTGACAATTTTCTCACTATTAGATGGTATCGGTAGTTAGTAGACGATACTTCTTGAGATCGTTCCTTACCCATGGAGCCGGCAACATACATGAATGAGATCGCTACCATGCCCAACCCGACGACCACAATCTTTTGCCGTCGGTTCGGGTCATTGTGACGATAATCTAGATCTCCGACAGGTTCGACTCTCGCATGGGGTATGCCGTTGCTGATACTGCTGTGGACAGCGTCGCTGTTTCTGGAGCTGTCGATCAACGGCATCGTGACTATTGACTAAGCCTCAATGCCAGTATTGATCACAAGTCATTACCAGAATGAACTCTCCTCACTATCGCTTTCTAGGGGATGGCTGAGGACTTCTCTGCTCATATACAATCTACAGATCTTGCCGAGTTGGCATCCACGAAAAGGCGACCAGTCAGTTGCGTTTAATTTCTGCTAATAATTTATTGTCATCGACGAACCCTGCTACGATTGCATCCACCCATGTTCGAGTCTAATCGCCGATGTTCGCGGAGAGTCAAGCCATACAACATTAACACAATCGTGGAGGGACTGTGCAACAGGGACAGAGTATGGCTCTCTCCACCAAGACATGTTTGTTATCTTCAGGGTGGATTGATAAGGACGATAGCGATCTCTCTATTTATTTCCGCGGAGACTAAGCCAGTCTTTTGTCACCCCTTATCTCTGCCGAGTAAGGGCCCAGCCGATCATCAAAAGATAAGCAGAACTGCTTTTTGCCTCCACCCGATGAATTCCAGATCGACTTCCATGGAGAAATACCGGGTGCATATGTCGGTTGATCTATCTATCTATGATTCTAACCATAGCCACTGAGCCAGGAAAGTGGCACGGTCCACAATGAGCTCAGAGTCGCTGGACTTGGCTACTGGGATGGTCCCTTACTATTCGTCCCACCGTCGCGGATGGGAGGAATGGGCCTCATTTTTGAAGAATTGTCTCATGATTCTCCCTAATTCCACCGCGCTCCAAAGGCACCTAACTTGTTTCCTTGCCAATAAGGATACAGGCTGCGTGATTTTCCTCCATCATAGTCCACACTGGCCCGAGAGCCCCCGTGATGGTGGCCGTTTTCGGACGATTCGCCAAAGGTCACCGTCATCCCACGGCGAATACCAGACCCAGTTCTCATTAACGCTATCGGGAACGCTGCGATGCGGGCAGGCACCCATGGTAGCTTAAGGCTTATCTAGCTGTTATCCGGCCCATTGCTACCTCGAGATCCCGCGGAGATCATTCATCATGAACATATCCCTGGCCTACTTCTAGCATTTCTCCGAGGCCATTTGTTTATACAAGCAAATAGGGCAATTCCTGTGTCAAGATTGTGTCTGACTACTGGCTTCTTCACTTGGAAACGGAATGCGTCATTTTCCTGATTCATTCCAGCCTGACTATGGTTGCCTTCTTCTGTCTGCCCGTCCTTGAGAGTTTTTAGTCTAGCTAGAAAAGTCCGCTCTCTTCGCAGTGTTCCCTTCATGCTATACCACCATCATCAACTGTAGTACTCAGCGCGATGGCGACCATAACCCAAGTTCAGACACAGAAGACACAGACGGTCTTGCCAAAGAGCCTTACGGCAGTACCAGGCCAGATCACAGTCAAGGAGATCTCGAATGTCGACCTGCCAGATATACCCCTTCCACCGCCATCCACGAACCCGACTGAGATCCTCGCTCAAGACAAGGGCACACCAGACAATCATGTTCCTCGAGACCCTCGGCTCATCAGATTAACGGGTGTCCACCCATTCAATGTCGAACCTCCACTGACATCCCTGTTCAATGAAGGTATGAACTGCCTTTTGAAGCTCACTTTATTCTGATTGGCATGGCACTCGGCTCACAACCCACGTAAAGGTTTCTTGACATCGCCGGAACTCTTCTACGTTAGGAACCATGGACCTGTCCCTCTGGTGCGCGATGAGGATATTCCAAACTGGGAGATCAGTATCGAAGGGTAAGTGATTGTTCGATGATGTTGTTCAAATGCCGAGGGAACTAACTGTCCGTAAAGGCTGGTTGAGCGGCCGGTCGTCTTGAACTTTCGTCAGATTTTGCAGAAATTCAATCAGATCACTGCCCCAATTACACTCGTATGCGCTGGAAACAGGCGCAAGGAGCAAAACACAGTGCGGAAGTCAAAGGGTTTTTCATGGGGACCAGCTGGTCTGTCAACAGCCCTTTTTACCGGCCCCTTGATGGCGGATGTCCTGCGGTATGCGAAGCCACTGCGCCAGGCCAAGTACGTCTGCATGGAGGGAGCAGATAAGCTGGTCAGTATTCCTCCCCGAATTACAATGTCATTCTCTGGTCCGTTGACTTTGCAATAGCCTAATGGCTACTATGGCACATCAGTCAAGCTCAACTGGGCTATGGATCCCAACAAATTGATCATGCTTGCGCATAAGATGAATGGCGAGCCTCTTCGTCCCGATCACGGTCGTCCCTTGAGAGCTGTTGTACCTGGTCAGATCGGCGGTCGAAGCGTAAAGTGGATCAAGAAACTGATCTTGACTGATGCACCCAGTGACAACTGGTACCATATTTATGACAACCGAGTATTGCCGTAAGTGGACCGAGATACCTCGGATGACCACTTGCTGAGCGTTGCAACAGAACGACCGTCTCTCCCGAAATGGCCGCTTCGGATCCGATGTGGTGGCGTGACGAACGCTATGCCATTTATGATCTCAATGTGAATTCTGCTGCTGCGTACCCTCAACACAACGAAGTCCTTGATCTTGCGACGGCTGGGCCTTCCTACACCGCTAAGGGTTATGCATATGCTGGAGGAGGCCGACGAATCACTAGAGTCGAGATCTCGCTGAACAAAGGCAAATGTATGCTATTCAAGTTTTATCGTCTCCTAACGAAGCTAACTTGTCTTGCAGCTTGGCGTTTGGCGAACATTCAGTATGCTGAAGACAGGTACCGCGACTTTGATGGCGAATTGTTCGGCGGCAAAGTCGACATGCCTTGGCGTGAAACATGTTACTGCTGGTGTTTCTGGTCTCTCGACATTCCCGTGTCCGATCTGGAAGCTAGCGACGCCCTTCTAGTGAGAGGTATGGATGAAGCGATGAGCGTCCAACCGCGCGACATGTACTGGTCCGTTCTCGGAATGATGAACAATCCTTGGTTCCGAGTAACGATCACAAAACAGAATGGGACCTTGTTGTTCGAACACCCCACTCACCCTGTCATGGCTGGCGGCTGGATGGAACGCGTCAAGAAGGCTGGCGGCGATCTGACCAACGGCAACTGGGGAGAGAGACAAGAAGGGGAAACACTGGTAGAACCTGAACCTGTGAAGGAAATCAACATGAAGAAAGAAGGGTTGAATCGGATTATCAGCCTCGAAGAGTTCAAGAAAAGCAATGAGGAGGGCGCGCATTGGTTTATAGTGAAGGGGGAAGTGTATGACGGAAAGCCGTTCCTTGAGGGTCACCCGGGAGGAGCACAGAGCATCATCTCGTCCATCGGGTTGGACGTGACTGAGGATTTTTCCGAAATCCGTGAGTTCTTCGACAGCCGTCTTATCTTTTCTTGAGAGGCCGCAGAGCTGACATCACTTACAGATAGCGAGACGGCGAAAGCAATGATGCCCGACTATCACATCGGCACAATGGACGAGGCGTCCCTAAAGGCGCTCAAAGAAGCCGGCAAAGAAGAAGAACCCAGCGAGCCTCGGGCACTTTTCCTCCAACCACGGTCGTGGACGAAGGCGAAACTTGCAGCAAAGCGGGATGTTTCCTGGGATACACGCATCTTCACTTTCGAACTGGAACATCGGAAGCAGAAGCTGGGCCTGCCAATTGGACAGCACATGATGATCAAGGTCCAAGATCCCACGACCAAAGAAACTATCATTCGATCATACACTCCGCTCTCAGATCCTAACAAAGAGGGCTCAGTTGATGTGCTTATCAAAGTCTACTTCCCATCGCCATCTGTACCCGGTGGAAAAATGACAATGGCTCTCGACCAGCTTCCACTGGGCTCAATGATCGAGTGTAAAGGCCCTACAGGCCGGTTCGAATATCTCGGAAACGGCAGGGTTATCATCGGTGGTAAGGAGCGGCGCGTACGCTCCTTCAAGATGATTTGCGGCGGTACTGGTATCACCCCGATCTTTCAAGTTCTCCGCGCAGTGATGCAAGACCCTCAAGATCCCACATCGTGCGTTATCCTCTTTGGGAACAGACAAGAGGAAGATATCCTGTGTCGAGCCGAGCTTGATGCATTTGAGGCGTCAGATGAGAACAAATGCGCGATTGTACATACTCTCAGCAAAGCATCAGACACGTGGACTGGCCGGAGAGGACGTATCGGTGAAGCACTTCTGAAGGAGTTTGCGGCGCCTGACGATGAGAGCATGGTACTCATCTGCGGGCCTGAGCCGATGGAAAATTCTGCCAAGTCGATCCTTTTAGCCCAAGGGTGGACAGAGTCCAATCTTCATTTCTTCTAGCTTGTTTGATATGGCTGCGACTGTTTGCATAGCGATCATGATTACTGAATGGAAGGCTGGCGTTCTGGGACTGCATGTATGGACAATCATTGGGAAATAACGAGGTATACGGGATCGATTATGTCACCTCAATAGAGATACTTGCTAGATATTTGCACATTGGCAAATCAAATGTTATATACTATCCAGGACCTGAAAATCTCTGAAAGTTGCTAGCCGAACAAAGAATGTGGTGATGAAACCTGTGTTTTAGCCTGTTATGGACCCTGTTCGCCGCGATGCAGCTTTCGATTCCGCGCGGACTTTGTTGATAAATGACCGGGTATTAGTAAAGCGGTGGCCTTGGTTTGAAATAGGCAACAAGTCAAATTCGATTGAGTTAGATCATATACATATGTTTTTCGCGTTAACATCGGTCAGTAGTATCTTTTCATCTCTAATCGCACCAGAAGACGCTCGAAAATGCTTACTGGCTCTGCTCTCGACCTGCTGGCGAACTTGGATGAAGCCTTCACACCGTCCAACCCACGCAGGTAGCCAACAAAGGCCGAGGTCTGTTTTCGGAAGGTCGCGTAGAGTTGCGCGATTGTATCTTCGCTCTCGTAGCGAACACCTTCCAACCCATCGAGCCGGGACAGCGGAGCAAATGTCAGAATCGTCCCGAAGATCTTCTCAAGCAATCTGGCAGCCTCGGCGTGTCTTCTGCTCAGGAATAGGGCGAGGAGCATCTGGTCGAGGGTCTCTTCGTGGTACCTTCTCAGCCAGGAAACGGAGTGTGCCGCTTCTATAACGCCGTCTATGTCGCCATGCTCCAGGCAGAATTCAATTCTCGTAAGGATATCCTGGAATGTGTGCCAGGTAGAGCCGACGCCGACGTGAAAACAGTAATCGCTCACGGCAAGAACGAAATGCTGGCAGTCTATGCGGAATCGCTGAAAAAGATTTCGGGTATCCCCGGAAAGAGAGCTCCTTGCAGTTGAATCGCGAATGAGACCTCTGACTACCGAAACCATGCGGATCAGGCGTAACAAATGCTTGAATAGGCGGTCGTATTGATCCAAGGATCGCTGCGTTATAATCGTTTCCAGGACTGCGGATGGTTTATACTGAAGACGGAGAAAATCGAGTGCTTCAATGGCATTCGGATCCTTGCATTTCACAATCTCATCGTCGGTCAAGTCGCGAATTGAGAAACTCAACCCACCAGGAAGCTCCCGTTCCCTGAGAAACTCGGCATTACTCGAATTGTCTAGGCGCTCGTCCATGTTACAATCACTCAGAAGGCCGATCAATACCAGTCGCAGCTCGGAGCTTGCAGGAGGCCAAGTGTCACGATTTCCTAGGCGCAAACCGGTATGCACGCCGCTGCGCACGACACCTGATCTACGCTCGCCACTCTCCATTTCGGGATCAAAAAGTGAGTGCGAGAGGCGCGACGCAAAAAAGCCATCACCTAACAGTTGAAATCGCCACTGCAGGGTGAGGTGATATCTTAATTTGTGTTCCTTGAATAGGAGGTGAAGACAGGAAAAATCAACGAGTAAAGCTTGGGAGGATAGTAGAGGCGCCAGGGAAAGGTAGAGTGCTGATATCATTTCTGGACCAAAATCGTTTCTGTGCGGATGAGTTGGTCGAGACCTCTCCAAAGTACTTGTGTCGAACAACGGTCCCAGTTCGTCGTTTTCTAAGGAAGAGTCTCGCGCAAACAACCCGGTCATGTGCTTGGAATCATCGATATCGAAGAGCTCGAAAGGGTCATCTCCGGCAGAGCCAGACTTCTGCACATGTTCTTCTGCAAGTGCTTTATTCTTCTTCACTTGGCCCGAGCGTTGGCCGCGGCTGTATCTGAGGATTTCCGAGCGGAGTTTAGCCTCATATTGCTGGGCTTTCTTTTGGATTCTCTCGATGTCGGACCAACTTCCTGCACAACGCAAATTGGGACCATCTTTGCGAAGGATCGCATCATTTGCGATTGGGTGTTGAGGGTGGTATTGTCTGAGTAGCCGCAAGCTTCGACCGGTCTCGAATATCAATTCTGCTTGCTCCGTGGGGATAAAGGTCGGCATTTGCTCGGGATGATAATGATATTGCAAAGTTGCTGCTTTCGCACTCCTCGAGCCTGCTCTACCCTCGTATCGCTCTACGGCCACGAAGCCTTCATTCTTCGCAGCCATTTCCACTGATGCGGGTGTCTCAGCGCGCAGGCCAACCCAAGATTCCACGTAATGGAGCCAAGGTGCAATCACACGAGCAACAAGTTCATGGAAAAGATTTTCCATAAAACCAAAAGCTTGAGAAAAGTGAGCCGCTTTCTCAATGACAGCAGAGATTACTTGCGCATCTGATGCGGCTTTCTGAACTGCTTCGACTAAGTTCGATAACGCACCAACCAGCCCACCACACCGCTGGAAAAGTGTCATGATTTGAATGAGGGACGAGATATCCTTAAAATAGTTAATTATTTGCTTCTCAAGCGTGTAGATAATCACAGCCGCAGCACTGGCAAAAGCAGATCGGGCAGAGAATTCCTTGGGATTGATCCGAGTCCGGCGCGCAAAGTCCCTTATGTTGTACATAGCCGTACCACAGCGGAGGACTTCCTCAATCAGGCCATTGACAACGGTGACGCTGACCCCAGAAACGCGGATGTTGTCAGATACCCTTTCGAACGCTTTCCGCTGCTTATTGTAACGGAAGAATATGGAGCTCCAGCCGAGTCCAAGCCTGAATAGAGCATGGAAGAAGACATCATTCCGAGCCACACGTCCCGCATTTTTAGGTCCATTTTCGGAGTACTGGAGTGCCAAAGCTGAATCAAAGCCTTTCGCACCGGACTCGCTGAAATAAGCGGACGTCGGTTCGAGAGACGATCGATCATGGTACCTCTCCCATGACCTTAGCGCAATCTCAGGAATTGTAGCGTTTTGCAGGCTTTCAAGTGTCCAGATACTATCTGACTCGGCTTCAAGAATATCATCGTGATGGTGGCTAAGGTTATCGTCTACTTGAGTATCACTGAACGCTTCCGTGATTGACTCCGCAGGCTGATCGAAGAGAAAAAAGTTATGTCCTTCGATATTATCCAGCTGGGGTAATGGGTCTGCATCTTCTGCGCGTGGCTTGAGAGGGCTCTTAAAGAACCCCTCATTTAAATCTTTCGAGAAGAAGCTGTCAGCTGGCTTCGCGTCGTGCTCATGTTAGGACGCACCAGGTAGGTTCTCATTCCATTGGAATAAATCCGACGGCTGCAAAAATTCCGAGGTAAAATTGGAAAGCCTCCACAAACTATCGCTCGAGAATGGATCCGCGTCATACTGGCCCTGATCCATTGTCATTCATGCCGTGCTATTTCATGCAAATACTCCTCGACTCCTTATCAGCATCTTGAGCCTTTAACGCGTTGTTGGCGCGCGATCACATGCTACTAAGCTTGAAGCGCACTAGCGCCTGCGCCCAGCCAACGCCCGGGCCACCGTTTGTTAGGGAATCTGAGGAGCTGTTGCGCGCATCGTCATACCTGACCTGAAATAACCAGACAGGGTTCCTATTGTCCAGGCTACCTTCTGTAGCTCACTGCTTGTCTCAAGACAGTGCTATGTTACGATGCCACCCAAGAAGAAACCAAAGCTGACTGATCTCCAAGCCGAATCTGCGCAGCCGGCCGGCGATACACCCGCCGGTGAGGGCGCAGGCAAGCCAGACAATGGGCACGACTTGGTAGCGGATCCCTGGACAGATGAGCAGGAGACAGCTCTGCTGAAGGGGATTATCAAATGGAAGCCAGTTGGTAAGTTGCGATAATTTCTTACTCGATGTTGTCAATGGCTTGCAACCACGAGATGAAAAACAAACTAAGCGGCGCATATCTCAAGGCATGCACAAACACTTCCGTATGATAGCAATCTCCGAGTTTATGAAAAGCCAGGGCTACGCGCCATCAAATTGCGAGCACACACGGATACCAGGAATATGGAAGAAGCTAGGAACACTTTACAATTTGCCTGCGCTCGATGAACGTGTACGTCGTGGCAGGCGCGTCCCTCCTGCTTCAATTGCGGAACTGACATACTATTAACGATCCAGGAAGATTCGTTGATTACAGAACCCTCTGATGACCCCGACGGATCAAAAGACTTCTACTGCCCGTTTGAACTGCCCGAGGATGAATACGGCGACTTGATGTTCGAGAGGAGGCTAGCGATGGAGGGATCCGCGTCACCTAATCCCAGTGCGCAAGCGGAGTCCAGAAGAGGCAGTACAATAGCGGATACAGATGGTGAGATATTCTCACTAAGATTACTCGCAGCATTCTAATTCTCGGTTTCGCTTCTTTATATAGAACCACGCTCGTCCCCCGCACCATCACGAGGCAGAAAAGGAACCCGCAGCGCTCGCCAAGGAACGCGAGGCACGCGTTCGATGAGACTCCAGGTCGAGATTGAACCTCGTAAAGGATTAGGCACCGGGGAAGAAGACGTAGGTTCCGAGGAGACCGGGGCAAACGAAGAAGGCGACGAGGAAGGGTCAGATGGGGCGCAAGACGACAGCGAAGAGGACGAGGCGGAGGGAGACACGGGCGGCTCGCCGACTACAAGGAGCACACGTGCGCAGACAACCAAATCGAGACAAAAGGGAGGCAGAGGTGGGGGAACAGGAACCAGACGAGGTGGCCGGCGACGCTAGCATTCATCTCCGTGGGGTCTCCTTTAATCTTTTGACATGATTCGCATTTCGATACCTTGAAAAGCTCGGAGGAGGCGTTCGGCAGGATTTGTGTATGATTATGCAGAAGCCATGACGCTTGTACTACTATGATCATTTTTACGTTAGGGCCTGGCGAGTAAGGAACAAGCTTCAAACGAGGAACACAGAGTGCGTCGTCGAAATCTTGGATGTACCAATTGGTTGGAAGTACAGCAGCGATCAGTGAGATCAGATGGGTATGGGAGCACAAAAGGGATGAATTTAGGTATAAGTGGCATCTTACTAAGTACATCTAAGTACATATAAAAAAGATCTAGGGTCGTTCAATGGCTAAAGGTAGGACATTTGAGGGAATAGTACATTTCAACGCCGAGTCCCTTACAGGCGCTTGCAGATAGCCTCAGCATACTCGTGGGTCTTGGCCTTGCCTCCCAGGTCACCAGTGAGAGTCTGCGATAGAGCATGTCAGTATCCGAAAAGTCCAATAGGACGGATCAGGGTATCACGTGATTGGACATACCTTGCCCTCAGCCAGGGTGTCGAAAGTGGCCTTTTGAATACGAGCAGCGTGCTCGGTGAGACCCATGTGCTGTAGCATCATGATACTGGACAGGAGCAGAGCAGTGGGATTTGCGAGACCCTTGCCGGCAATGTCGGGAGCAGAGCCGTGAACAGCCTCGAAGATCGAGCACTCGTCACCAATGTTACCGGAGGGAGTGAGGCCGAGGCCACCGATCAGGCCGGCGCACATGTCGGACAGAATGTCACCGTACAGGTTGGGCATGACAAGGACCTTGTCGTTGTAAGGAGTGGGATCGGTAACGATCTTCAGGCAAGAGTTGTCCAGCAGCTCAGCATCAAACTCGATATCGGGGAACTCCTTGGCGATTTCGCGGGCAGTGTTGAGGAACAGACCATCGGACATCTTCATGATGGTGGCCTTGTGCACGACACGGACCTTCTTCTTGTTGACCGAACGAGCGTACTGGAAGGCGAAACGGAGAACCCTTTCGGAAGCCTCTCTGGTGATGAGCTTGATGCTCTGGACAACACCGTCGACGACAACGTGCTCAATGCCAGAGTATTCACCCTCGGTGTTCTCACGGATCAAAACAGTATCGACATTGTCGTAAGGAGTCTTGTAACCGGCGACCGAGCGGCAGGGGCGCAAGTTCGCAAACAGGTTGAAAGTACGACGCAGAGTAAGGTTAAGGGAAACGTGACCCTTGCCGACAGGAGTCTATATGATTCGTCTTAGTATATTTCTGTGGATCGCAAGGACACGAGGTTGACTAACAGCAAGAGGACCCTTGAGAGCGACATAGTTCTTCTGCACACTTTTGATGGCGTCCTCGGGAATAGCGGTCTTTCCGTCCTTCAAGATGGGAGTGACGTCGACGGGCTCCCACTTGATGGGGGCCTACAACTAATTTAGTACTCAAAATTCTCCGAGCGCGCAAGCGAATAGAAAGATCAAGCTTTACCTTTGCGGCAGCAAAGATATCCTTCACGGACTGCGCAATTTCAGGACCGATACCGTCACCCTCAATCAGGGTGACTGTGTACTTTCCCTATCGATCAAACATTGTCAGACCCGAGTCCTTGTAAATATTCTCATCTTCCCCAAAATCAATGCTTAATGGCTGCTCGAAGGTCGAATATTCCACGAAGCAGCGGCGGATGTCACCGGGCCAGAAGAAAGGAAGGGTAAAGAAAAAGTCGATCGAGGCATGACATACATCAGGACCCTTCTGTCCCTTGAACTTGGCGACCCGATCGTCAGCAGCTGAGGCATAACCGCGCAGCTAAATGAAAACATTAGTCTGGTTAGTCCTGTAATTGAATGAAGTCGAAAGGGATCGTCTGAAGCTCGTGTATTACCTGCGACAGAGGCGAAGCAAAACCTGGGGACACACGTGTTGTCCGCAGGCATTGGCGGGCCGGGGCAACGAAATTTCTGGCAGAGATCATTGTGATAGTTCCCCGGATCAACAACCGACGTTCAGGTTTTAGAGAGAAAGGAATTGAAGATAGACGGGAAGAAAGAGAGAAGAAGAAGAATACTACGCGGTGGCGGGTCACTTGTGCGGGAACTTGGAGCAGAGAGAAGAGGGTCTTTTTTGCAACAATAATCCCGGTAACCCGAAAGCCTCCAGCCTAGCACTGCAACCTGAGGTATCAACTACGCAAGTGGTGCGGCCGGTTCGACTGGCCCGTTCGGGAGGCCGCTAGTCCTAAAACGGTTTAACACGTGGGCGGTATGGGCAGTCATGGGCGGTTCTCTTTTCTTCCTAGATACCTGCTCCGTACAGCATGGTCGCCTTGTAAGGTAGACTTGCTTTTTATATGTGGAGGATATCTGGACAACTGTAGGTGCATTCTTCTGCCTGCTGATTCTTGTAGGCGATTTCACTATCTTAAACTATGAGGTGTCATTTTCTCTACTCCATACCTCCGTACTTACATTGCAAAGTTGTAAGCTGCTTGATGGACCTTAAAATGACCATTGAGCTAGTTACCGTCTGCCGTAGTCGCTCCACCACTGCTCGTTTACCGTTCAGATTAGATAACGCTTCAGGTTGGACAACACTCAGCAGCCTTCCTAAGAGCTATATACAAAGGATTAAGGTAAAGGTTCACTTTATCTACAGGGCCATGGTATTGTAAGCTGTCTCAATTCGTATTGTACCTTCATTGCTTACCCTTGCAGTTGCATGTGTCAAGCACGAGGTCGAGCAACTGATCCACCGTTCCCCCTTCAACCCTTAGCCTTGGCGATATACCAGCATGACCGACGTCGAGGTTGCGAATTATTATAACCTTCCATCAGCTTACCCTGAGGAATGGCCGGCTGAGCTTGATGAGAGCGAACCTTCCGACGACGAAGCTCTGGGCCGTACTCCTTCGCGAGCCAGGAGGTCCCGATACTTTGCCCTAGAACGCAGTCATAGCGGTAAGGCCCTCAGCCTTGGATCCTTCAAAGGAAGCAATGCGAGGGAAAATCTTGCCAAGGTCGATGAACCCGATCCTCTCGGGTCTGGCGACAGCGTCCTCCAGATCCTGAAGAGACGAGGCCTATCCTTAGAAGATGAAACCCGCTTACGGAACCGGTTCTTGCTTTCGTCGACCTCGTTCTCCCCCGCCCTTTTCCTCTCCCAAGTTCACTCCGATGCGTCTATTGAGTCGCTTCTCGAAGGACTCGACTACCTCTCGAAATCTATTGACCAGAAATCGGCGTCATTGAAAGTCCTCGTCGAGGCGAACTTCGAGCGCTTTGTACGGGCCAAAGCAACAATCGATAGCGTCTATACGGAGATGAGAAACCAAGGAAAAGGAAACCATGTGCCACTGGCTCAGTCACATCGTAGGTCAGCTGGACATCTCCGAAGTATTTCCGGGGCTTCGCGAAGCGCGCCTCTTGCGGACGACAGGCCCGGAAAGAATGCTCTAACAAAGGAAAGCGACTATGGCATGAAGGGGATACGGGTACCACTCTTGGAGGCCTCTGTTAAAGCTGAAGAAGTCTGGGGGCCGGCGTTGGGCGGGCGCGAACGAGAACAGATGCTCAAGTCAGTAGTCGACACGATGGAGAAGCAACGGGATGTATACGAGATCGGTGGGCTTCTCTCGAAATCTATAAAGCAGAGGGACTACGACTCTGTATTCGAACAATATACAAAAGCAAGAACGCTCGCCAAGAGCGCTAAGCATATTGCACACAAGGCAATCAGCAGTGGGCGATCTCTGACAGACGAAGAAACGCACGCTATCCTCGCCATGGGTCGGATGTGGGTAGATGTGGACCATCAGATCCAGGCGTTCAAGCGTGATCTGTGGAGACGTCTCAGCGATGCGCCTACCACATCAATCACGGCCACTGCGGCCGGAACCGTGGAAGAATATATGGAGTTGATCGGCGCTCTGCTGGAATTGGGCGTGGACGACAACCCTATTTGGGTGTGGCTGCTCAGCCGCTATGACTTTCTCAAGACTAAGATTGGCGCCTTCTGTGGACGCTGCAAGATGGAAATCGAGATCCTCCGACGCCGGCTTGCTGGCGGCGACAAGCCAACACCCAAAGCTGTGGCATCGTATCTGCGCCTGGCACCACGGGAAGACACAGCGGATCTGCAAGATGTGCTAGACACTGACCAGGTAGTCGAGCTCTGGGAATGCATTCTAGCTTATTTGACCAAGTTGTTGGCATCGCAGGGTGGGCTGCTCGGCGAAGTGTTCGATTTCTGGGAAGTAGCACAATCCTTCATTGACGGTTCCAGACAAAAGCTTCTCCCCGCTGGGTTCGAAGGAGAAAGCCGCAGACATCACCGGCTCTTCGATAGCGAGACCAGGGAGCTACAGAACGGGGTCGTGGAGTTGGTCGACCTAATTCGCCAAAATGTGCTGTCGTTGTTTGCTGACGCGCCTCTGGATGATGCTTCATTCCTAGCGTCTCCAATATCACCAGCAACCCCGAATAGTCCTATAAGCCAAGGCGTGACTCCCACAGAATCACGCTTCAAACTCGACCCAAAGAACATGCCAATACCCACACCGAAGCGCGGGGAGTTCTGGGAGGACTATGCCTTCTGGCCGCCCTTCTCGAATTCACTCAGTGGTGTCCACTATCTCGGCCAATTCATGATAATTATTGGCACCGCGGCGAGCGAAATGGCTGCATTGAATCCTGTAGCAAGTGGGGGTAACACTCATGATCTCCTCAAGTCTCTAGTGAGCATTGCTCGCGAGCGCTCCGTCCGAGTTGCATGTGCGGCTTGGGGTAAAGACGCGGAGATCTGCAAAATGCTGGAAGACTGGACGCGCGATCCCGAGAGCAAGGATCTGACCAAGATGCCTGGGCTATTTGTGGCATTTGAAAGTGCAATTCTTGGGAGGATGCAAAAGATCCTTTACATCTCGGAAGCCATGGCTAAATCAGGGGCCGTGGATGTCGTGACGCAACCCCCTGCTAAGCTACTCCA